TGAAGTCCGTTGCCATGGAGCGCGCGCACAGAGAAAAGAACGTACGCCACGTGGTGGTATAAGGAAGAGGAATGGCTGTGATCTTCAGTTTTCAATAATTGGCACAGATTATAGAAAAACACTAAAGAATGTATATATTTAACAGTCTGAACAAAATAATACAATTATTTCGAAAAGTGCGGGGTTTAACAATAATTAACAATACTTTCAATGATTTCGACTAAGTTTGATTATGATTAATTCGACTTGACTCTCGCGGCTGAGACGTCCGTCTCAACCACCGACTAGAGAGAGAGTGCCGGATCGCCGGTTGCTCCGAAAAACGGAGCATGCTTCATGATTTCTAAGCAAACATATGTTGCATCAGTCGCTCTACATGATACATCATAATCTAGCACAGGGATCGGCAAGTGAGCACTGCTCGCGGGCGTCCAATGCCCACGGGCAATAATTGAATGCGCTAGGGCTAGCGTTAGATCGCTAGGCGCAATAAAGGAAGGAGAGGGGATAGCAGGAACGTCTGTTCGTTGAACGTGTTGTTCAAGGAATCAAAAGATATTGTGTCGCACAAATTCAGAACCAGAATTAGCATAAAATAATAACTATCTATATTTTAAATAAACATTTCTTACAACAATATTAAATAAACAATTCTTATAACATTTAATTAGTATTTAATTCATAGTTTTTCGATATTATATACGATATATCAGGTGTTATTGTTTTGACACTTAAACGAATTATTGCATTCAAATGTGAATCTGTTAACTCGTATAATCGCGATTTATTTAATTTCATAATAGAAAATAATTGTTCATATGAATATGTAGAACCGAATAACTCATTATACTATACTCATTATACTTATTATTATTACTTTGATTATCCATCAAACGTTAAATTACAAGATCGCAAATATGTTTGACTGTTCTAGACTAAGAGCAAAATTTGATTATATCATTGCTTAGTTACTGCTACTTTTTCTTTTATTTTGAACGTTTAACAGATTGATGTTTAGCAGATGTTTATTTTGAAACTGTTGGAAGTTTCGCGGAAAAAGAACTATTCTTCTGGTTTTAAAAATATAATTTTAAAGCGCTAATTTCTATTAAATTCATGATATATGTATTCATAATTTTATGATTGTATTATAAGTTTATATTTTAATATTACATTGTTATTGTTTATATTATTGTTTTATTTCTTTGTTATATTTAAATTTTCGTTAAACATATTTAAATGTAATAATTATATTACACAATTTTTAATAAATTATATGCTAAAGCACAAATTTTGACAACTTACAATATTTAAAAATAGAGATAAGCATTTTAATTAAAATTTTCCTATAATGAATGCTTATTATTAGGACAATCAAAACATGCGGCACATTTCTTTATTTGACTAATAAAAAAATTAACTAAATATATTATATTATATTATAATAAATTGAATTTATAAGAATTTATGCATTTTGAGTCCTATATATTATAACATATTTTTGCATATTTCATCTTTAAATGGTTTAGCTAAACTGTTATAAAAAAATTTTATGATATTACAAAGATTCGAGTACTAATAATTTAAGACTGCACTATCGTTCATATATACATCCAACGCTATTTTTGTAAGTGTGAAATGCGAAACTTTATCCCAAAGTCTTGTAAGAATTAGACGACCGTAAGCTGTCATGAAAGAGATTCGGAATATAAACAGCTAACAAAGAGGAGCCGTCGTGGTCGTGCAGACTAAGTGTCGGATTGGTAGACGGGGGATCCCGAGTTCAAATCCAGTCGGTCTCCGTTAATTTTTTCCGAATCTAATAGATATCTTTCAGTATAAAAAATATTAGATACGCTCCTGAGATGTGCACAACAGGCGAGCACTCGCGGGCGTTTGCGAGCGCCCGTGCAATTTCAGCGTTTTGCCGACCTCTGATCTAGCAGACGAATCTTAGCGCTA